GGCATTGGGAGAGTTTCTAACGGAGGAGCTAAGGAAACTCCTCTGTCGGGAGAAGATCCCTGTAGGTGAGCACAAGAACCACAAAGGGAGCAGTTCAGACCAGGCCAGGGAATGGTAGGTACCGGGTAGCATTCACAGGTCAGGGGTGAACCAGGCTGGGTCAGTTCATATCACCCGATGACAAATCCTAGCACCAGAAAGAAGGATGGGTCCGGCTGAGTTGGGCCGCAACCATTTTATATGAGGGCAGGACAAGGTGCTGGCTGGGTGGGCCTAGGCTCTATAGCCCAAACCAGCAAGAACTGGAACTGGGGGTGGGCCAGTCCCAGCCAGATTACAACACTCACTGGTAAATGCCGAGGTGGGGCAGGATGCCAGAGTGGGCTGCAGCACCCAACCAGCACACGTGAGACCCTATAGGGGAGGGAGAGGGGGTGAACCGGATAGGGGAACTGCATGGGTCTCCCCTGCTGGACCTCCACTCCCACGGGTGAATGTGAGTTAGAATGGTGGCAGACCAGACTGCAAGACTACATACCTGTTGGCCTCATGTGAGTTGGATCAGGGGAAAGCCAGGCTGGGTTAACTTTTGTCATATGGTTTTGACTTTCATTTTATTAATGGCTAAGGATGTTGAACATATTTTCAGGTGCTTATTAGCCATTTGTGTCTTTTATGGAGAAACATTTGTTCACATAGGCCGATTTTTTATTAGGTTGTCTTTTGATTGTCACATTATAAGAACATGCCATGTGTTAGATACAAGGCCTTTACCACATTTTCTCCCATTCTGTGGGTTTTCTGTTTTGTTTTGTTTCTGTGTATCATTCAAAGAACAAGTTTTTAGTTTGGTGGATGCCTTGTTTATTTGATTTCTGTTTACCACGTGTTTGGGGGTGGGGGGAGATCTTAAGACCCAACTGCTAATCTAAGGTCACAGAACTGTTACATCCATTGTTATAAGATTTGTATAGTTTTAATGCCTACGTTCAGTTCCCTGAGCCATTTTGTGTTCATTTTCATGCATAGTATAAGGCAGAGGGTCTAATTCCATTCTTCACACATGGATGTCTAGTTATTTTAGCATTATTTGTTCAAGACATTAATCTTTTTCAATGTTATTATCTTTGATTTTCTTACAGAAAACCAAATGGCCATATTGGTGATGTTTTTCATTTGCATTCTGTTGATCTAAATTTGATCTGCTATTTTCAGTAGCACACAGGCTGATTACTGTAGCTTTGAAATACATTTTGAAATTTGAAGAGGGAATCCTTAAACTTTTGTCCTTGTTGAAGATTGTTTTGACTAATTTTGGTTCCTTGTATTTCTGTGTGACTTTTAAGGTAAGTGTGACAATTTCTGCTTAAAAAACCAGCTGGGATTTTGAGAGGGATTTAATCGAGTTTGGAGATCAACCTGCTCCTGTTTTGAAGGATTGCTTTGGTCACCAAAATGCTATTTTATACTCTACTTTCTCTTTCTTCTAAAACAAAGTGTTATCATTGCTCCTGATGCAGAAAGAAAGGAAGAAAACCTTTTCATCTAAATGTGATCTTGTTTTTATCTGCATCAGTTTTCTGATACATAAATGGGTTAGTAGGTGAAACAAATTTTTTAAATCTTAAGGAAATTCATTTCCTCATCTTTGTTGCTTTTCTGGCTGGGGTGTTGATGACTTAAAGTAGTTTGGATCCAACACATACAAAAGAACCTGAGAATTCTGCCAAAATAAAGTATCAACTAAAGGAGATTATGCATGTAGGTTTTTGGTATACATGTTCAAATTGGATTTATTTATTCATAAGGCAAAATGAGTGAGAGGCAGAGAAAGAGAGAAATGATCCATCCACTGAGGTCACTTCTGGTGAGGTTTATTTGGGGATGCCACAACTGGGCCATTGGCCTCAGAACTCCAAACACAGTGAAAATCACAGGATCTGTGGTCTGATCGTGGACTGCACTAGGTCGTCTCCTTGATTTTTTTTTTTTAAGATTTATGTATTTATTGCAAAGTCATATATACAGAGAGGAGGACAGACAGAGAGGAAGATCTTCCGTCCAATGATTCATGGCCGAATCTATGCCGATCCTAAGCCAGGATCCAGGAACTTCTTCCGGGTATCCCACACGGGTGTAGGGTCCCAAAGCTTTGGGCCCTCCTTGACTGCTTTCCCAGGCCACAAGCAGGGAGCTGGATGGGAAGTGGAGCTGCCGGGATTAGAACTGGCGCCCATATGGGATCCCGGCGCATTCAAGGCGAAGACTTTAGCCACTAGGCCACGACGCCGGGCCCAGTCTCCTTGATTGTTAAAGGCTGTGCAGTGAACTGCATGCCTAGATGCACATGGCAGACATGACAACCAGTTTATTGAGACCTGCAGAGGGGATCTAGTACCGTGGAGGGCACAACAAATTTGACAGCTCTCCCAGCCAAGCTTTGACAATGAATACTGGGTGAGTAGAGAGTTTAAGATGGACTATGTCAGGCATCTCAGAACTACTGAAACTACTTAAGTGGTATCCTTGGAGCACGATTCACTTTGGGAATCTAGGATGACAAGGGGTGGCTATCTCCCAGCCTTGGGTACTGGTATAGCTGGGTTCATGGGATTGGCCCTCCCAACTTTCCCTAGATGCGGGAAGAAAAGAGATTGAAAACAGTTGTCTCATTTGCTTTCCTGCTATTCCTTGAACTTCCCCACCCTAATTGTTGGTCCACATGAGCATGCATCCTTTTTAAAAATTTGTTTAAATCTTTATTTCTATTGCAAAGTCAGATATACAGAGAGAAGAGACAGAGAAGATCTTCCATGTACTGGCTCACAGCAGTGACCACAAACAGCCAGAATTGAGTTGATCCAAAGGCAGGAGCCAGGAGTTTCTTCCAGGTTTCCCACGTGGATTTAGGGTCCTAAGGTCTTGGGCCATCCTCGACTACTTTCCTTGGACAAAAGCAAGGAGCTGGGTGGGAAGCATGGTTGCTGGAACACAAGCCAGCATCCAGATGAGATCTCAGCGTGTGCAAGGCCAGGACTGTAGCCACTGGGCTATCATGGTGGACCCACATATGCATCCCTCTTAACTCTGTAAACATCATCACAAATAAAATACATGTATTATTAAAGAAACAGTTACTGGAAAAATCATTACAATCCCCAAATGAAATACTCCTAAGGTACTAAAGCTAAAAAAAGGGAAGTAATGCTGGCAATCGTTATAAACTGGGATGGGGAATACCTGGCCCATGAGCCATTTAAAACCAGCTAAGTCATTTGGTCTCATCCTCCTTGGCAACCATACATAGAAATCAAAATTCAACAAATTTATGGCAGGCTATTTTTTAAATTGATAATGTCATATGGTCCACAGTAATGTTATTTATACCCAATGGCCCTTAGGAGGAAAAAAATGTTTCCTACCCTCTGTAAATAGAAACTACAGTATGGATAGTAAAACAAGAAAGAAAACCATTAGGACACTCAAAAGAATCTGACCTAGAAAAATCCAATGTTGAAAAATCGGGAAGGCTTTTGAAAGAAATAAAGACATCCTAGTAGTGTGACTGCTCAATGATAAACATTAAATATGCAAAGAAAATTCATGCTACATTCTACAAGAGCAAAAAATGAATTTGTCTCCAAACAAAAATCAATCTTCCAAGTTCAGCTTGATAAGGTAATAACATTTCAATACAAGGTATCAATAAATGGTTGTGAAACTATAGGTTAAAAAAGGTGGGTGGGGCCCGGCGCGGTGGCGCAGTGGTTGAGGTCCTTGCCTTGCACGCCCGGGATCCCATATGGGCGCTGGTTCTAATCCCGGCAGCCCTGCTTCCCTTCCAGCTCCCTGCCTGTGGCCCGGGAAAGCAGTTGAGGACGGCCCAAGGCTTTGGGACCCTACACCCGCGTGGGAGACCCGGAGGAGTCTCCTGGCTTCGGATCGGCATAGTATCGGCCGTTGCGCTCACTTGGGGGGTGAGTCATGGAACGGAAGATCTTCCTCTCTTTCTCTCCTCTCTGTATATCCGCCTCTCCAATAAAAAAAAAAAAGTGGGTGGTTTGGTCAACTGTAAGATTGCTAGCGGGAACATTAATCTGTTGACTAACCTCTGTTTATCAGAATGCTCTTGCACAAGCCTTGGGCTCCATGATATCTGTCTATGTCCTGAAGGCCCTAAGTGCTTACTTCCTTGACTCTTCCTCTGTGTTCAAACTTTGTCTTTCACCTTCTGTTTTCTCTGCAGGTGTCTTCCTATATCATTATATTAATTTCAACTTACACCTTGTGCAAGATTTGCAAAACGTTACTTGTAATTATGGGTTAAGTTCCCTATCTCTGTTAGTGTAGAGGTCACTTCTTCATAGCTGTCTCACTACCCCCCATACTCACACCAAATCTGCAACTGAATGTATGTGCAGGCTTACTCTTCCCAAGGGCTTTCCACACCTGAATTTGCTATTTCCACCATTCCCTCTGTAATCCAGGCTCAACACTTTCAGAGTCACTGACCACTGCTTTCTCTTTGGTTCCTATTCTCCTTGCCAACCACATTTTTTTTTTTTTTTGCAACAATATTTTGGTGATTCCGGCGCCCACAAGGCGAGGATTTTGCCACTGCACCACCGCACCGGACCCCACTCTCCCATTTTGGCCCGTCGCTCAAGCTGGGGTGGCTGCAGCGACGTCCGGCGGGGCAGAGCCAGGCCGGTGCCCAACAGACAACAGCAACGGCCAGAAGAGCGGGCGGCGAGACGGACGGCGAGCGGATCCTGCAGGCGCCGACTGCGCATGCGGAGCGCGGACGCTTGGAAAGGGAACCGGCCCGGCTCGGCGCGCGCGCGCACTGGGGCGCCTCCGCAGGGCGGGGCCTGAGCCGTCCCCGGGCGAGGCGGGCAGCGGGGCGCGGCCGGGGCCTGGCGCGCCGGCGGAGAGCGCCGAGGGCGGGGAGGAGCCGGAGGCTCGGCGGGCCGGCTCTGGGGAGTCGCTCAGGGTCCCGGAGCGGTCCTGTCGGAGCGGAGGCGGAGCTGTCGCTGCTCCCGGGCTCTGTCGGGGCAGCTGCCGGGGCTCGCCCTCCTCGAGGCTGCCGCGCGTCCAGAGAACTGACGAGAAGGGAAAGGTGCTTCTTACTCCTGTTTTGTAGCTCACATAGGTTCTGTTGGATGCAGGATGGTTTTTCGTGGGAGTTCTCAGCACTTCTGTGCAGGTCGGACTTCGGTGGTCCCTCCTCGGCAGGTCCACCTTGGTCGCAGTGCTTCTCGCCCGGCCCACGTGAGTCCCAAGCACTCAGCCCTTCCAAGCCCAGCGCGTCTGTCAGGGAGAGTTATAGTATTAACGCCTTAAGAGAATAATCAGTACGAGTCAAACGTCGTTTAATTTTATGGGATAAAAAAGAAAATAACGTCAGAGGGCAAAAGAAAAAAATCAGTGTGAAGTCGTCCCTAATCGCTCAGGTCGCCCGGCTGCCCACAGTTCTCTCCTGGGTGTGGAGCGCCGCAGGTTCAACTTGCAAACATTGAGCGGAATGTGAGACTGTGACTTGACCAGATCCATTGTCAGACATGCAAATCATGGGCATTTTATTCCTACTTGAATTGTTTCATGGACTTGGTGTGAGTGGGTGAAAGACTTAGCACTCAACCTGGGGATAGAATGATGTTCTTCACTGATTTCAGAAGGAGTTTCATCAGTTTTTACTTTTGCCTAGAGGTCACTGGGAAGGCAGTGTGGATGTTGTCCCTCCGCCTGGAAAATGCTGCCCGTGGACCGTTGGTCTTTCTGTGTGAAAGCTGTGGCACTGCGTCAGGCTCATCCAGCAACCCTATAACGTGAGTCAGAGGCCAGGAATATGGTGTTTGAAAAATATTTTATTAGATGCAAGAAACATTTACATATGAGATCCTGTGCATAAATCAAGATAGGAAGTAAGTCTTCACAAAAATCATAACAAAGATGACCACTGAACTTCAGGTATTTCATTAAATGCTTTTGCAGTGACTTTTCTTGGCTTCAGTATTTTCAGTCAGTCATGTGAATTAAATTTATTTTTAAACATAGAGCTTAAAAATGAATCTGGCATTTGTCCCAAAATAAATGTTTAAGCCCAGCTTGTCCTTTCTTTATTTTATTCCTATTTTTAGGTAGTCTAAGAAATTTTACTGTTTACTCATTCCTTTTTAAGGCCCTGAAGTGGGTAAATTACCTTTTTTTGTTAGTGACAGGCTCTCCACTCATTATGTCCTTCCCGTTCATACTCATCACAGCTCCTATCGCTCACCTCAGTCACAGTTTAAGGATGTCCGTAATAAATATCTGAAAACACAATTTTTTTCTGTTATTTAAAAATGATATTTCATCATTTTCTTTTCCTTTCGATCAAGCAAAGACATACTGAAATCAAACCTCCTGCCTAAAATTCTCTATGACTAGAAGAGTGACAGTAGTTAATACTGACCGATTAATAAATAGCATCCATCTATACTCCATGTGTGCCTATCTGAAGCCTGGGGCCAGGAGCTCTTCCTCCAGATCTCCCACATGAGTGCAGGGTCCCAAGGCTTTGGGTTATCCTTGACTGCTTTCCCAGGCCACAAGCAGGGAGCTTGATGAGAAGTAGGGCTGCTGAGATTAGAACGGGCAACCATATTGGATACCAGAGCATTCAAGGCTAGTCACGACGCCAGGCCCAGGCCTCTATTTTTATAAGGTTCTTGATTTTCTTTTTCATCACTGTAGCAACCCATTGGTATTTTTGTTGCATGTTCATTAACTTCATGTTGATGAAAGTTTACTGTTTTTCTCTGTTTGTGGACCTTGTTCTCTGGCTCTGTATTTAAGGGGATGCATAATGGAAATGTAGAGCAAACTGGTATATTCAAATGTGCAGACAGAGTGCAGTATGTCTCTGTGCATATAGACCAAAAATGAGCTGCTGGTGAATCAGTCGCAGATGTCTTGGTAGTAGGATGTAGGACTGTCCAACCGTGTCCATGCCTACATTGTCAGGAGACACTTCAATAACAGTATGGTGGACTTAACACTGTTCACGAAGGACACCCACTATAAAACTAGAGGGGACATCAATGTGGAGAGGGACAGGAAATCCAAGAGCCTATCAAACTTTATCATAGAACCAAAACTTTAAAGAACTTTTACACCAATATTCCATTCCCTGGCTAATTATTAATTAAACAATTAAGATGCAGAGTGTTGGGGATGGAATAGCTCAAAACCAAGAGACAGAGAATCCTCATCTACTGGTTCCCTTCCCAAATCCCTGCAGCAGTGGAGCCATTCCTTGACACATTCTCAACTTGTCATGAAATTTTATTTTTATAAACTGCTATACTCAATTAGTTTTACCTTCATTTTTTTTTTTAGTGTATGTGCATTGTCTCTCAATCTCTCCTCTCTTTTCCTTCCTTTTTCTTTTCTCTTTCATCATAGACATAATGCTACCTTCAGTAAATTGTGAAGTGGTTCTATCCTTGCTATTTACTGCAGGAGTTTGTGTTTAATTTTTGCAATATCTTTAAGTGCTTAATATAACTTACTAGTGAAATCTGGTTGAGTTTTTGGTTGAAATGTTTCTAAATCTTGAGTTCATTTTCTTCAATAAGTACAGGGTTCTTCTAGTTACCCATTTCTCCTTGAAGGATCTCTGCTTATGTTTTTTAAGCTGTTAACCTGTTTCATTTAAATTACTGCGTTTGGGGGGAAGAACTTTTCAGTCAAATACTCCCACTGACCTTGTGATTGGAGCATCTCTAGTGATGACTGCTCTTTGATTCCTAATATTGGTCATTTGTATCTTCCTTTTTTGGGAGGGGGGTCACTTTGGCTGGAAGCTTTGCTGAATTTTGGCTTCATTGTTTATCACTATTCTGTTTTCAATTTCATAGATTTTCATTCCTCTTTTTGAAGATTTGTTTGTTTCATTTGAAAGGCAGATGCACAGACAGGAGAGACAGAGGGAACCTTCCTCTGGTTCACCCCCCAAATGGTCGCAACAGCTGGAGATGAGCTAATCTAAGCCAGGAACCAAGTTTCTCTGAATCTCCCATGTGGATACAGGGGCCCAAGAACCTGGACCAAAACCTGCTGTTTTCCAGGCTGATTTAGAAGTGGAGCAGGCTGATTTAGAAGTTAAAGCAGTGTCCAGATGGGATGTTGGCACATCAGGCAGAGGCTTACCCTATTACCTATGGTGCCAGTCCTAGATTCATTCAGCTGAAATATTTTCGAAGTTCCCTTTATACTTTTTCTCTTCTGCTGGTGCTGGCACTATGGCTTAGTGGGTTAAGTCATCACCAAATGCTTTCTGGTATGAGCCCTGAACCTTGGCTGCTTTGCTTATAACAGAGCTCCTTGCTAATGCACCTGGGAAAGTGTTTGGGCTCATATACACACATGGGAGACCAAAACCATGTGCTGGCTTCTTCCCAGTCCAGCCCCGGCCATTGTTGCCACATAGGGAGTGAACCAGTAGACCTCTGAACCAGTGAATGGAAGACTTTCTCTCTCCAAAATCTGCCTTTCAAATAGAAATAAATAAATCTTTAGGAATAAATAAATACATAATATCTTTGTTAAAAATAAAAAGTAACTTGTTTTTGTTATATGCTTACTTAGAAGAATATAGTTTACTATCCCAATGTTTGAGAAGTTTCATAACTTCTGCAGTTGCCTTGTTTGATTCTGTTCAGTCTATATATGTATATATCAAATGTATATATGGATATTTGCCCTAATTTTGTTAATTGTGATACCATATTCACAATATAAATATATTATATTAACCATTTAGAGCATCTATTTGTTTGGTGGACACAGAAAAAGATTAGACAGAGAAACAGAGAGAAGAACTAAGTTCCATCAATTGGTTTATTCTCCAGAAACAGGTGATGGCAGGCCCTGGGCTGCAGGTGGGCAGGGGCGGAGCCAGAAGCCAACAGCCAGGAAGGCAATATAGATTTCCCATGTGGATGGCAGGAACCCAACTACTTGAACTGCACTGTGCCTCCTAGAACCTGCTTTGTTGGGAAACTGCATTCAAGAGCCAGAGCCAGGACTTGAACTCAGGCACTCTAATGTGGGATTCAGAAGTCTCCACCTTGGAGCTGAACACCTGCCCTAAGTCTTACCCTTTCCAAGTGCACAGTTCAGTGGCTTTAAGCACATTCACAGTGTTGGGTAATCATCACCACTGTTTCTGCAACTTTCTCATCATCCCAAAGTGAAACTCTGTACTCATGAAACAAACACACTCCATTCCCTCCAGCTCCTTGCAGCCTCCACTTTAATGTCTGTCAGTATGAAATGGCCTGTTCAGTGCATGTTGTTGTTTCAACTTGTGCTTTATATTCCAGATCCTATCTATGTTGGTAAGTGTCCCATGTGCATTTGAAAAGATTGTATATTCTGCTTTTAGGTCAAGTTGATTGATAGGATTGTTCTTTTATACCTTACTGATTGTTTTAAATGACATTTTAAATTGATTTTCTGAAAAACAAGTGTTGAAGTCTACATGGATAAATGTGGATTTCTCTAATTTTCCTTTGATTCTGTTAGTTTTTGTTTCATATATTTTGGTGTCTTTTGTTAGGTACAATACATTTAGGGTTATTATGTCTTCTTTTTTTATGTGTGAGGCAGAGAGAAAGGGCGCTCCCAGCTGCTAGTTCACTCCCCAGTTACCTGAAAGAGCCGAGACTGGGCTGTGGCCAAATCCAAGAATTGAGAACTCACTCTGGCTCTCCTCAGGGGATGGCAGGAACACAGTTACAGAGTAATGACCTGTGCGTCCCGGAGTACACAGGAGCAGGAGACTGGAGGAGGAGCTGTGGCCAAGCATCAGAGCCAGGTGCTCTGATGTGGGTGTGGGTTCTCAGTGGCATCTTCCTCAGTAGGCCAGTGCTGATACCTGTTTTCTTTTGATGAGTTACCCATTTGTAATTATGCAATGATTCACTTTATCCCTGAAAATACTTTTCCAAATCTCCTTTAATGTAAGCCTTCCAGATTCATGAACTGGCAGTATTCCATCTCACATTCCCCAGTGATATCTCTTAATCTAGCTTAGTTAGAAACTTCTGTAGTTTACATGTTTCTAAATACAACACTGTTGAGCTTAACAGAACACAGTGAGAGGTGTGTAGTGACTGACACATATAATCTCCAAATTCAAGGCAATCTCACATTAGCAAAAGAGAAAATTTAGAACACATTCTAGGGTGTTTATAAGAGTAATGAAGTTTGAAATCCTACATGGAACTCTTTGTTCTGGATTTCGTTATGTTTTGAGAACTCTACGCTGTTTTCTTGTCTTACAAGAAACTACTGTTCTTCTGAGAAGTAATGTTCTTCCGGTAAACATCAGTGGGACCAAGCACCAGAGTGGCCCTAGTGGCATAGCACACACATTCCTAGTTCCCAGATGCCAGGATTGACTTGCTGTTTATTCCTGGAGCTCTGAGGAGTGGAGAGTTTGGTTAGGTTGCTTTTACTCCTGGCCAGGCAGCATGAGATAGCATATCTTGTTGTGTCATTGGTGGAGAAAAATGGTCTCCTCTTGCTCACTATTCATGAGCGTTATTTTCGTGGCATGGGCTTTCCCCAAAAACGTGGTACAAACTAGGAAACAGCTCTTACTGCTAAAGTTTAGGAACGCTGTCTTTGGTGATATTTGGCAGAAATATTAAATGATGAAAACAGGGAATCTGCTTCCTGAGCCCAGTTTTCTCTTCTGAAATATAAAGATGATGATTACCTCAGATGGCTGGAGCTGGGCCATTCTGAAGGCAGGAACTAAGAGCTTATTTCTGGGCCCATCAAGATAGCCTGGCAGTACAGCATCAGCTGGCAGAAGCTGGCACTGGGGGCTAGTTCTGTCAAGTCAAACCACAGAACGATGTGGAGAGTGCATAATCTGGGAGTGGGAGAGGCCTGGGAGGGAAATAGTGGGTTCATCCCTCTTGGGTTACCACTTCCACGGGAGGACATAAAACTAAGACAGTGGCTGGGGTGGAAAGGGGTGTGGGACAGACTGGATTACTGCTACACATACTGGCAAACCAGGGTAGGGGGCGGGCCTGGAGGGGGTTATTGTGGGTCGCTCCAACTAGGCTGCAGCTCCCACTGGTTTATGTGAGGGCCAAGTATGTGCTGGGCAGCGCCAGGCTGGACTGCAACACCCATTGTTTCCAGTGCAAGTTGGGAATGAAAACAGAACCAACCCAGCCATTACAACCACCAGCTGATCAGGGCAATGGACTGTGCCAGGCCCTGTACTTGCTAGCACATACAAGAATCTGGTTTGAGAACACCTCAGACAACGTTTCTTTGGAAATCTTCCTAATCTAAATGTTGGACTCAGAACCCTTACCAAGAAAAGAGAGAAGACAGAACAGGTCAACCAACCATCTCAGCTATGATGGACTATGTCAACCAGTGGATTTTTCAAAGACCTCATAGTGCTTGGAGTGGCAACATTGGCAGTGGTTCACAACTGTTGAAATATCAAAACCACATGAGCAAGATCCTCAGAGCATGCCCTACATTCGGGACCTGGGGAGGGTGGGAAATTGGGTGGGCCTTCTCCCGTAATTCCCCCCTTTAAACATGAAGGAAACAACATGGAAAAAAAAAGATAGCCTGGCAGCTAACGTCCTTGCCTTGAGCACACCTGGATCCCACATGGGCATCGGTTCTAATCCTGGTGGCCCTGCTTCCCATCTTGCTCTCTGCTTGTGGCCTGTGAAAGCAGTCAAGAAAGGCCAAAGTCTTGGGACCCTGCACGCTTGTGGGAGACAGAAGAGGCTCCTGGCTCCTGAGTTTGGATCGGCTCTGTTCCAGCCATTGCAGCTGCTTGGGGAGTGAACCATCAGACAGAAGATCTTCCTGTTTCCTCCTCTCTGTATATCTACCTTTCCAATAAAAATGAATAAATATTTTTTTTAAAAAAAGTGCTTCTTCCCAGTCTGCAAGACTTGGGCCTACCTCTTCTGCTTTCCCCGGAGTATTAGCAGAGAGCTGGATTGGAAATGAGGCAGCTGGGAATCAAATTGGTTCCCATACGGGATGTCAACATTGCATTAGGCAGCTTAACTTATTACACCTCAAGACTGGCTCCAGTTAATTAATTAACTAATTAATTAATCCAAAAAATCTCTTCACCTAGGTCGTGCTGGGAAGTTCCTTGAAACAAACCAACAAAAGCACAAGAAGAAGGAAGGTATGAATCCTATCAAGTTTCTTTGTCTTGAACTCAGAATATTTTTTTTCCTTGCATTATTTTAAAAAAAGATTTTTTTATTGGAAAGGGTATTTACAGAGAGAAGTAGAGGCAGAGAGATCTCCCATCCACTGGTTTACTGCACGGATGGCCACAATGGCCAAAGCTGAGGTAATCAGAAGCCAGGAACTTCCTTGGTGTCTCCCATGTGGGTTCAGGGCCTCAAGGACCTGGGCAATCTGCCTCTGCTCTCCCAGGCCATAAATACAGAATGGGATTGGAAGCAGAGGAGCTGGCACACGAGTTAGTGCCCATATGGGCTGCTCCTGCTGGCAGAGAGAGAAAATTAGCTCTTTGAGCCCTCATGTTGGTCCTAGAAAGTTTTCCTTTATGCTGTCCTACAGGATACTTGCTATTCCAAACTGCATTCAAATAGTTTTGAGGTTTCCCATGAGTTTCACTTGACATTTGGAACATTTTTCCAGATCAGAAATCTTCTCAAATCATTTACACAGAATGTAGGTGTTACAATTACACTATATGGGCAGAAAGGATCTGGTGTTTGGCAAAGATACCACTTGGTTGGTATGCTCATGTCTGGCTGCATTTCTGATTTCAGCTCTCTGCTAATGTACACCCTGGGGGCACTAGCTGGTGGGCTTATGTGTCTGGGTGCCTTTCACCTACATGGAAGATCCAGATTGAGTTCCAGGCTCCTGGTTTCATCCTTGCTCCACTCTGAGTGCTGTGGGGAGTGAAGCAGCAGATGGCGTGTTTCTCTCCATTGGTCTGCCGCTCTAGCTTGCAAGTAAAATGAAAAGAAATGAAGTGTTTTTAGTTTACCTGAGTGGAAAGAAAAGTACACCCTTCAGTTTGGTACTAGGATGCTTCCTGTTTTCTCCCCCATAATTGTCCTGTGAAGTTTTGGAAAATACTGTACTTGTTAAGCCAAAGAAGAGATCAAGGTAGTAGCTACTGCCACTGCATTTTTATCCTTTCTTTAGGAGAGCTGAAAAATATGGAAAGGGGTCTACTTCTAGCTTATCTAGATGACAAGAAGATATGAGTAAATTTGGCTCTCGTGTTGCTGTCCTTTGGCTCCCACACCACTGGCTGCCTGGCAGAATGAGTCACTTGCTGCTCTGTGTCCAGGCTTAGATACATGTATGGCCACAGCCCTGCTCTCACTAAAAGGTTGTCACTCAAGTTCCTTTACCTGTGTTGACAGAGCTACACAGGGCAGGCTGGGCACATCAATATGCTTGTTGCTGGGACACCAGGCTGTTTCCATGGCAGCAGGCCACTGCTGTTTGTTACTCTCTTGACAAGTGCATACACCTGTTCCTTAAGAAATATGCTTGTTTTCCATCACTATGAAGCAAATACTGATTAGGAAATGACACAGCTGCATGGTGGCAAATTCTCTGTAGATTTCAGGAGGAGTAACATCAAATACAACTGCATGTCTGTCATAGCAAATCTTCGTATGTAATGAAATATTTATATGTTTGACTTTTCAATTGTGCTGTTTCTAGCCCATCATATGCCACAAAGGATTGGAATCAACAAAAGATTTCTGAAACCACCCTCCCATCTGCTGCACATGGTACTCATGAGGTGAGTAATTGTTTGTTTATTTATTTGAAAGGCAAGGGAACAAAGAAAGAAATAAGGAGAGCCTGAGTGAGAGAAATCTTCAGGCTACAAGTTTACTCCCCAAATGACTGTAAAGGCTGGGGCTGGCTCAGGCCAAAGCCAGGAGACTGGAGCACCATGCATGTTTCTGGATTGGAAGCAGAATGGCTGAGACTTGAATTGGCGTTCCAATATAGGATACTAATGTGGCAAGTGATGGCTTAATGCCAGCCCTGAGTGAATTTGTGGGTTTTTATTGTTGTCTTTGTTGCTGTTAGGGCTGAGTGTGATAGCTCAGTTGCTAAATTCTCATCTTGCAAGTGCTGTGGTTCCCTATGGGCGCTCCTTTGTGTCCTGGCTGCTCCACTTCCCATAAAACTCTCTGTTTATGGCCTGGGAAGGCAGTAGAGGATGGCTCAAGCTTTGGGACCCTGCACCCACAGCCTTTAGACCCTACACCAATGGGAGACCCAGAAGAAGCTTCTGGCTCCTGGCTTCAGATTGACTGAGCTCCAGTTATTACAGCCATTACAGCCGTTTGGGGAGTGAACTAGCAGATGGAAGATCTTTCTATTTTTTCACTTTGTAAATTGGATTTGGCTTTGTGGGAATGGCAGAGTTAGAAGGACAGAGAGAGAGAGAGAGAGAGAGAGAGAGAGAGGTGGGGCTTCCACCTGCTGGTTTACCTCCCAAATGGCTGCAATGGCCAGAGCTGGCCAGTCTGAAGTCAGGAAGCAGGGGCTTCTTCCAGGTCTCACACGTAGATGCAGGATCCAGGAACTTGCGCCAGCCTTCACTGCTTTCTCAGGCCACAGGCAGGGAGCTGGGTCAGAAATGGACTAACCTGGGCTTGAATGGTCATCCGTATGGTATGCTGGCACTGCAGGTGAAGGCTAAGCCTGATAGACCACCACGCTAGCCTCCTGAGTGAGGTATTCTCTGAATGGTTTTTCAAAGATTACATATGATGGCTTCCTGGTAAAGAAGAAATGATAATTCCCCATCTCTTCCTCTTACTAGTATCCAGTTGTCACCACAGTCACTGCTGCTACTGAGTATAACTGCTAGCCAGGAGCAAGACTTGAGTGACAGCACAAATTGTAAGGAGGCCCTCACTTCCAGGGCCATGAAAATGCACTGCTGCCCCCAAGCACCCAAAGGCAGTCCCAAGGGCCTCAGTCTGTGTGAGCAACAATTCCTGCTATTGCTGAAACCACTGGTTCCTAGGGTTCTTACTCCGTGAACTCAGCTTTACTTCTCTTGTTTCCCTAATGTTCTAAGACGAGCATAAATGTGTGGGAACTGGTATGAAGAACTATTGACCTGACAGATACTGCCCTATTGAGAGCCATCCTGCTTCTCTTCCTACTGATTGTCTAAGCACGGCCCCTTGTCTTCCAGCAAATGCCTGTGGTCTAGAGACACTGATCCTTAAGGTGTCTCTGCAAATTCACGTGGGACTTTAAGATGAATGTGGTTCAGTTTAAAGAGGGAACTTGAGCAGCACATACAGTTCCCAAGTTCTGAAAAAAACAAGTTGCA